TCGCGGGGTACCGTTATATGGGAGCTATACGTTATCGTTAACCTATATAGAGAATTCTCTGTCGGTGGGTAAAGTGCTCACAAAGAACCCCTTGTGTACAAAATGTGGGTAAAATCATCAAAATACCGAATATCGGGGGATACCGTTACATGGGGGCTATACGATATCGTGGACCTATATAGATAATTCTCTGCCGAGGTATAAAGTACCCACAAGGAACTCCTTGTGTGGATTTTGAGACAATTCCGTTGAAAAATGTGGGTAAAATCATCAAAATACCGAATATCGGGGGGTACCGTTATATGGGGGCTATACGATATTGTGGACCTATAAAGATAATTCTCTGCCGAGGTATAAAGTACCCACAAGGAACTCCTTGTGTGGATTTTCAGACAATTCCGTTGAAAAATGTGGGTAAAATCATCAAAATACCGAATATCGGGGGTACCGTTACATGGGGGCTATACGATATCGTGGACCTATATGGACAATTCTCTGCCGAGGTATAAAGTACCCACAAGGAACTCCTTGTGTGGATTTTCAGACAATTCCGTTGAAAAATGTGGATAAAATCATCAAAATACCGAATATCGGGGGGTACCGTTATATGGGGGACATACGATATCGTGGACCGATATAGCCCATCTTCGAACTTGACCTGCCTGCAGGCAAAAGAGAGATCTGTGCAAAATTTTAGCTTCCTATCTTAATTCGGACAGGGCTAAATCGTCTTAGAATTTTACGCTGATCAAGAATATATATACTTTGTTGGGTCTAAAATGATTATTTCGATGAGTTACAAACGGAATGACGAACTTAATATACCCTCCATACCTTTTTGGTGGAGGGTATAAAAAAAAACAATGAACGGAATAGGGTTTCCAAAAATTTTTGGTAAGTGTTTTACAATATTCAGAGTTTAATTAATTTTTATTTCAATGCTATTATAACGGTTTAAAATAATTATAATATTATAATATAAGATTATAATTTTTATCCATAAATATTTTTTATACAATCACACAAATGTTAGCTTGGATTGAATGTATGTATAGTGATCCGTCTTGCATTTATTAATACATATATGTTATTGTTACCAAGAAATTCATATTATAACATTATTTTTCTGTGTTTTATATATTAAATAATATCCGTATTTTGAGGTACGTTTGGTATTGTACGTTCGTAATGGGAACTATAGTATGTAACAGAAAATTATCTATGCGTATCCACGTCTTCGTATATCCACCATATGACAGTACCTCACTATATTTGGTATTTTTAGGATTTGAGCGACATTTTTCACGGGATATTTTTTGACAATTTGAATTGGTAGAGGGTATCGCTCCGGTCTGCTACTGCTGCCTTTTTACTTGTTTTTACACATGAATATTGTTCAAAAAATCATCAAAATACCGAATATACAGAGTTACCGTTATGTTGAGGCTATGTGAAGATGTGGTCCTGCACAGACAATTTTCTGTCATAGACTGTAGTATCCATTACGAACTTCAAATAAAAAATTTGAAACAATTCCGGTGAAGAGTTTCGCTAAAATCATCAAAATACCGAATATGGGGAGGTACCGTTATATCGGGGCTATACGGAGACGTGGACCTGCACACACAATTTTCTTTCATAGGCTGTAGTAACCATTACGAAATTCAAATACCAAAATTTCGGTGAATAATGTCGCCAAAATCATTAAAATATTGAGTATGGGGAGTTACCGTTATATGGGGCCTAACGAAGACGTGAACCTGCACAGACAATTTTCGGTCTTAGGCTGTACTATCCATTACAAACTTCAAATACCAAATTTGAAACAATATCAGTGATTAATGTCGCTAAAATCATCAAAATACCGAATATCGGGAGGCACCGTAGCACAGTGGTCGCTGTTTTAATTGTTCCCCCCCTGAATCCTCCTTCTAAGATTCTAATTTAACTTTCAGATTTTGTATGTTATGCCCAATATACTGAAATGACTCCGCTGCAATTTTGCCAGTCTTATGGTGCTAGTGACATAGAATATGTTTTTGTTGTTTGGGATTGATAAATATGTAATTGAGGGGTGTTCAATATTGTTACAAGAATTGTCTTCTGGGTATTATATTAATGTCGAAAAATTTAAGGCCTTTGCACTGGAAACTGCTAAAGAATTAACATATAGATATCCATGGCACTATCTTCCACCCACAGTTCATTACAAATTTGTCATTGTATCGATAGAAGAATTATAGGAGGAGGCCGTGGAGTTTAGAAAAAAAAAGATATAAAAAAGTTTCGACAAAATCATACCCGAAAAATTTTCGTGTTTCAACAAACACAGATCTTATTAACCGTCTTCTTCTCTGACCCTTTTATGACGGGACAGCGAACGTTACCAAACAATAAAAAATCTATATTATTAAAAACTGCATTTGATTTACTTAAATAACACTGAAATTTATATATATCCATTAGTAACTTTGTTGAATTTTACATTGTATTGTTATTTTATTGTGTTTACAAAATATAATCAAATTTGGAATTGATTTGTATAAAAAATACTTCTATATTTGGAGGTGCCTTTACAGGGGGACTCTATCCGAAGGCGAGCCGTTCCGAATAATTTCCTGTAAAATTATTTTGTAACTCTTTAGAACGAAAAATGTCAAATTACAGAACAATTTGGTGTACAAATGTGACAAATGGGCTAATAACCCTTATTCGGGAGATTCGTTGTAAAGGGACCATGCCAAAACATGCACCGACCATATCCATCTTGTCACATTCTTTATTTATTGATATCAGTACTGAAAGTATTTTTGGCCGCTGTTCCCATACAACCTCGACCACTGTGCGTTGTATGGGGGCTATACAGGAGCGATTGCTGATATATTGACCAATTGTGACATTTTTCTTACTGTAATTGAGTTGCTTAGTTATATAACGTATTACATTACGACCATTGGAACTTCAATGGGATAAATAAAATAAATAAATAAAAGAAAATTAGTTTGCGTGTCAAAATTGGGATTATCCAATTGGATTTCGGACATTCAATGTATTCATGCAAACTTGAATCACGCTGCCTACGAATATGATTCTGTAATTGCCTACAAATATCTTCGGTGCGTTGAATCTTTCATTGTTTGTCGAATGCCTACATTGCGAGGTGAAATTGTCTGTTTTGTCGCATTCCTCTGTGTCATTCAATTCGTTTCTTCGCTTTAATACAATTCAAACAAAACATTTCCTGCCGAATAATCAAAAATATAGGGGATGCTTTCAAATACTTACATCGTGACACTTCTTTTTGATATTTTCTTGCGATGCTTCCATTGAACACGTTGAATGTGTTCAATTTTTTACTTTAAGAAATACAGTAGTTTTTCGATTAAATGAAAAGCTACTATAATGTCAGACCTGTTTGTTAAGTTAAAAAATTTGTTAAACCGATTACAATTTACAAACCGAGTAAATCAATGGGAACCCTCTTTTTCTATATTGTAGGCTTTTAAAAGTGGCACAAATGCCCTCGCTCAATTCATACTTATTGTTTTTATTTCCTCCACCATACCATTAAGTTCGTCATTCCGTTTGTAACTCATCGGTATAATAATTTTAGACCTAACACAGTATATATATTCTTGATCAGAGTAAAATTCTGTCCGTCCATCTGTCCGCCTGTCGTAATTACGCTAGATTCAAAACAAATTATCATACTTTTGCTGGCAGGTCAAGTTCGAAGATTGGCTATATCGGTCCACGATATCGTATGACCGCCATATAACGGTACCACCCGATATTCGCTGGTTTGATGATTTTAGGCACATTTTCCAATGGAATTGTGTGAAATTCAACACAAGGAGTTCCTTTTGGGTACTTTGCAGTCTGTAAGAGGATTGCTTATATAGGCCCACGATATCGTGTATACCCCATATAACCATACCTCCCGATATTCGGTATTTTAATGATTGTAGCTAAAACTTTATTGGAATTGTCTGAAAATTCTTACAAGGAGTTCCATCCGAGTAGGTTACTCCCTGTAAGAGAATTGTATATATAGGTCCACGATATCGTATATCCACATATAACGATATCTCCCGATATTCGGTATTTTGATGGTTTTAGCGACATTTTTGACCAGAATTGTTTCAAATGTCGTATTTTAAGTTTGAAGCTCGTAATGAGTAGTACAAGTACTACAACTATGCAGAAATTGTCTATGCTGGTCCACGTCATCGTATAGCCCACATATAACGGTGCTTCCCTTTATCCGATATTTTGATGATATTAGCAATATTAATCACCGAAATTGTTCCAATATGATTATATTAGCAACTTATTAAACGGAATTGTTTCAAATTTCTTAGTGAAGTTCGGATACCACAGCATATGACACAAAGATCAATTATGCAGGTCCACGTCTTCGTATATCCCCCATTTCAGATCAAGATCCTTCAAAATTTTCAAGATTCTTCAAAATGGTGGAGGGTATTTAAAGTTCGGCCCGACCGAATTTAGCTGCTTTTTCACTTGTTTAAAATTATTATTATATTATAAATATTATTATTGTTATGTCATAGAGAAATGAAAATATAGACAAAGGAATGCTGTCATTGCTGAACATCCTACAGTTTTTGTTATTTTTAACGTTTAATAATTATTGGACTTCAATATTCTCCCTCAAACTCCTGAAACGATATAGACAACATCTGCTGATCCTTTTTTTTTGAAGATAAACGGTGAGTGCTTTCCATTATCTATATCTCCATTTGTCTATGTTATTAACACCATTTGTCCTTCTCTATATATTCACGATGATGAATCAATTGAAGTTGAATCAATGATTGGTGCAGATGGGGTGTTTGAAAATTACGTACCATTACATTGTCATTTTGGTAACGTTTTTCTTTGTTTGTATTCCTTGCCTACCTGCGTCGTAATTTCATATTTTTGAAAAGCTAATAATTCTCAAATAATTTACCAAAAGCAGAATTGGTGAAACTCACTCCTATTTTTCAGCAATCCGAACCACTGAATGTAATTGTTGTTTGAAATTGCAGCAGCAACAAGCCCCAGATTGTCATTAAATTTAGTGTGGCAATTTTCGTGACAGAACCAGCGTCGTATCATTATTTCTTCAGATTTTATTTTAGAATTTTTGTTTAAATGTAATGGAACAATATATAATTTGAAAACAGGTAACATTTAATTGCGTTGGAAACAGCGTAATGCACAATTGGAGCGAACGATGAATGTCGCCCTACGCGGCAAAATGAGCCGCGTAAATTCGGCGTATGAAACACAATACCGACGAAATTATAAAACAGCTGATGAAGTTGTTTACTTTTTGCTCATTTGTTGACTACAATGAATCAGAGAATTGTAAAGTTTTTTAAATTTGTTGAAATAATTAACATTATATATATTATAGTAAAAGCTTATCTGCTTGTGCGAAAACGTTTACGGAGAAGATGGTGGGTACGGCCAGTGAACATTAAAAGAAACACCGAAGGATTCCAGAGAATGGCTTTTACGGAGCTAAAATTAAGAGATGAAGAGCGCTTCTTTAAAGCTACAAGATTTGCTTAACCACGATTGCAAAGATTTTCAAACAGAAAGCCAATTGATGAGGAAATCACTGATATCCATCTTCACTCAGGCGCAAGTACACAAATAAATAAATTTATTATGTTTTTTTATACGAGTAACAGATAGTAGAGTGACCATAACAAATATTAAAGTAAAAAGTAACTTTATTTACTAAAACACATAAGATTCGCACAAGTATGGCCACCTTGTACCGTTCGCCGGCGTATGAAATAGAAATAAAACAATTGAGTTCGCGATGCAAACAAATTAGTCAATCCAGGAACCATACAGCATCAATAGAAGCAAAGTTATCAGGTTCAAGCCAGTGAATAGGTGGGATCAACGAAGTACTTGTGTATGAACAGGTGGTTAAACAGCAACAAGAAAACGGAATGCAAGAATAACAAAACGGAATAATGACTGGCAGGGACACTAGGAATACATCAGATATAGAGATTGCTAGATGTCGTATGGATTTATCAAAATAGCGACTTAGACATACTAGATAAAAAGAATTTAATCAATTACCAAATAATTTAAAATGTGTAATGTCTTTTTCGATATTTAAAAACGTGTAAAACAGTTTCTTTTACAAAATGTTGGAATACTTCTTGAATAAACGAATATTTGTTACTTCTTTATATAATAATTTCTTATTTAAAGTTAAATTAATGTTAAAATAATGAATATGTTTGTTCCCATTTAGAATCTCTAAAACAAACTAATTCTTGTATTTATATAAAATATGTACAAAAATAATAATACTCAAAAGATTGGAATGTTGAAGAGGACGTTCTGGAAATCTCTAAAATAAAAAGATAGAAAGGAAAAGAACAAAATTGCGAAAAATAATGATATTAGAATCATAGTGACGCGAAACGTTTAGTTACGGGGCGAATCTGGAAAAACGTACTATAAAGTGTACAAAAAGTACTAAATGGTACTATACTTGAGTAAGTGTTGAAATAAATTTTGCTTCTAGGGCAGCTACGGCATAGACAAATGAAAATAAATATATAATATTTTCATTTGTCTTTGCTTCAGTATTCTCGCTCATAGAGATGTCGTACATAGTCAAATGAAAATATAGACAGCGAAACGTTAGTTTTGTCCTTTTATCCAGGTGACTCTCATCATGTTTTGCATAGTCAACATGCTGATTTAGGCGTTCAACCCACTCGACTTCAAAAACATATTTCATCGTTTTTCAAGAATTTCACTTGATTACCCGAATTGTTCGATGTCATCACTCACTTTTCACATTTTTTTTATTACGGAACAATTTTCCACCGACAAAAATTCCACAGTTTATGATATTTTTAACATTTAAGATTAAGTCACTTTTATATTTTCACCCAAACCCATGAAACGACATAGGCGAAACCTACAGATTCGTCTATATATTCATTAGCCTACGCGAAGGTCGAAATAATAATCAAGAAACATAGACTAATGAAAATATAGGCGAAGAAATTATATCACTGCTTTTTATCGAAAAAAAATCGGTGTCACCCAAACCTAAAATACCTTTTAATATCGTTCACCATTTTAAAATAAAAGTAACTCATTTAAAACGTTGACATCGAATGGAGAATGCCGTTAAAGTTTTTAAGTTTAATAATCTATTATTATCTCAATTTAATGAATATTAAGATTGAAGTTAAACATTCCGCTAGTCTTTGCAATATTACGCCGTGTTGCAAATTTTACGTTAAAGTTAGTTATTTAGTTATTTATAGCACCACCGTGCTATGCCTCGAGAAGGAACTGATCGTATTATAAAACTAATGGAACAACAATTTTTTTTCTAAATTTTTTTATGCGAGTTCATAGAGCACGATCGTGCAATGTATCGAAAAGGAACCGATCGTATCAAAGAACAGAAAGTATCTGCTCGTAGAGCAAGATCGTGCAATGCCTCGATGAGGTCTTGATCTTCTGATTGCTAAACTCGTCGAGTACACTGATATCTCTTGTATGAACTCCATGGACCTTCTAAGGCGGATTTTTGTTGAATTTTCTCCGAAAGAGGTTCTACTTCATCCGTTTTGAATACCACAAACTTCATTTGAGGATCAGCGAAGCCATCCAATCATTGTTCCGTATCCATTGTCGCAATCATCATTTAAAAATTTTCAACTCGTATGAAAAAGTCAGAATGACCACAAAACCGTAGCTCGTTTTGAACTATATATGTTCGCGACTCTAACGCGGCCATGAAACTAAGTATTTTCCAAATTTTTATCAAAAAAGTAGAGAGGAGAGGTAGACTACACTAAACATCGACTATAATTAACTCCGTTGCAAAGGAAGTCAAATAGCTGTCGGATGAAAGTGCCGTTTTCAATATTAAAAAGTGAGAAGCTCACATTAGGTTATCACTGTGAGAACTATAGAAATAACAATAGAAGTAATTGTAGATGCGTAGCATCTGCATTGAGATTTGGAATTTAAAGCATGCCAGACGAACATTACGAAATGCCACTTTGAAAATGAAGTACCAACGGCCGTATAGGCAAGTTTTTGTGTGTAAGCGTAAACTTCGAAACAATGTCATGGTCATCACCACAGATTTTGTTATTTCAATGCCATTACCGCTCAATAAGTCCCTGAACTTAGGACAGGAAAGGTCGCTATTGAACACCTCGATGTCACAGGGTGGCAAATTTAAGCTGTGACCGGAGTTTCCATTTCCACAGTATGTGAAAGATGAATTTTAAGACATTTCAGATCGATGCGAAACATTCGATATGGTCTCGGTATCCTAGGAACGAGGTATTAAAGAGTAGTACACCTAGCTTTCTGTAAATGGACGCTAAGGCATTTAAAAAACATATGTAGGCGAGATCGTATTTGATGTCGGCGGCTGAAATGAGGTCCTTATTATTTTTATTTTATCATCAAATAGATAATCGAGGTACTTTTCAGTTTGGAATTTAACTTTATCCAGTAGTGTTCAACTCCTCGTAATATTAGGATGTAAACATCGAACATCGTTGATAACCGGAGTTGGTTTCACATTTTACCAACGCATCCGCAAATCCAAAGGAGTGAGTGACATTTATTGTATATTCTGACATGTAATGTCTTATTTGGATTACAAATGCAGTAGCAGAAGACAAAACTGCAAATACCTTCAAAAAATTGTAGCTCAATTTGCGGAAAATTCGTAAAATATTTCGAATACGACACGTAATGGCAGGAAAAGTAGTATATACTTTATGACAATACACTAATTGTATAATTGTCGTGGACTATTTGCGATATCAATTATAGTTTAACGTGATTAAACCACAAGAAATAAATAATATTATAAATTAATTAAAGAAAATTTCCCTCAGTTCATATAACATTTTGAAAAAAATTTACAGAGTAACGTAAAATAGACGTAAACTGTGGCAATTTATCTCTATATCGACTTTCTTTCACTGGATCGAAGAAATATTTGACTTGCATTTACAAATTTTTGAAGTTTGTGTTTGTACAAACATTAAAGTCCAGAATAATAGTGGATGTTAAGCTACAGCTCCTACAGCTACTGAACATGTTTTTTAATACGAAAACTATTTATTGTGAGAATGAGAAGTCGCATAAATAATACATTATTACAAGTATATTGAAGAATCAAATATATCAAAATATTGACATTTTTACTGCTCCAACCTTACACAGTACATCAAATGGTCAGGTGGGGCGATTGCACAGTACACTGGTTGAATATCGCGGTGTCCAAAACTTATCCTAAACTTAACATCGAGGAAATTGTCCTATTAGCCACAATTGAAAACAATAAATCAATTCATTCTATAACGGTTTTGATATCCGTTAGCGTCTTTCAATCAACGGAAGTCGATAAAAGAATACTAGCGCGCCATATATCAGCGCAGCATAACCAATAATAAAGACAGAATTAACAGAGAGTTTTCTATAAGTGAAAAAGTTCTCGTTAAAAACAATAGAAGGTTAGGCAACGCGCTTGCCCCAATATAAGATGTCCTTTCTTGCTGTTGTATTTTTACCGACACCAACGGATCGATAAATAGATTGCTCAAATTCGAAGTACATTCCCGTAACTAGAGGTGAACTTGTTATTTGGAAAACCTATGGACACATGAAGTAGGTTACAAAACTGACTTGTATGAGGGATAAGACGGCTACGCTAATTTTTCCGTTCGGTTCTTTTACCCAAGTGACGAGATCGTAAGTTCAATGTAATTCTTTAGTTCCTCTTCTATTTAGCTTACGATCTCGTCACTTGAGTAAAAAAAGTTTTTTTTTATAATTGTGGGCTGAATGATTTAAGAATAGCCAAAGTTTATTACTTTTTAAATCCCATTAGCACCTCAGCTTGTGCATTCGAGTTCTCATAAGTCCCCCTAACATTGCCGGTCTGTTTGTCCGCCAAAATGTGGACTTGAGGGGGTACTATTTCATGGAGAAAATTCTAAAAATTGTAGATATGTTGAAATTTTTGTGTAAGATTTTCACCCCCCAAATACATATTTTTAGGCAAATACTTTGAAATATGGTAAAATCAGGAGGTACCTTTATATGGGCACTACTGCGAAACATTCTTCACCCCTTATAATCCAAGATTACAAATAGAGTAAATAAGTAAAAATAGTTTTATCCACCTCATAATTGAGGGCAGACTGATTTCAGAAAAGTCAAATGTAATTACTATTTTACACCCATTACCGTAAGATGGAAATTAATTTTATTTGTCATTTAAATTTTAAGTTGGAGACCCCATAAAGTCCATATTTTTCATCATAGTATAATTCAATGGCGATTCAACAAATACTTGCTATTTTCTTATATTTGTAATTTGTTCATATTTTCACAATTTATTTCATATAGATGTACATCCTAAATCTACGTTCCCAACCAATATTCTATTGGGGGTTAAAAATTCAATAGAATACAAAATTGTGGCAAATATCTGTATGATAATTCCTTACCCAAGGGTAGCATAAATACAATTTTTAGCCAAATCAATTGATGAATGTGGTCAAGATCAATATGGGCCCTACTCCGAAAATTTTATGCGAAGAGGTTTTCTACCCCCTTAGAAACAAAGATGCCAAATAAGGGCCAAAAATAGAAGAAAGGGGCGAAGACCCCAAAAATAGCTTAAATCGTACGATGTTATATAAATATGAAATTGGGTTGTACCCTTATTCGTGAGTTGTGAAGTCGAAGTCGATATCACGACCTGCAATAGTGATTTAAGGTATCTTGAATGTTCGGGAAGAATTTCTGGAAGGATAGAAATCATTTTCTTACTTAAAGTACCATTCGCTCTACTATTTTGCACCCTTTATATTTGATATTTTACTGATTGTACTCCCAAAAAATTTTGAATTTTGAGCTTTCATTCACAAGAAAGAAGTAGGTCCATGCTTTGTAATGAGCCCCATTAGGTTTTTTTTTCGGTTTTTTTTGTTTGTTTAAATGTGTGCGCATCATCCAGCTGAAGCATGATGTAGGCCCTGGAGTTGAAAGAAGTTGAAACATTGTATTTCGCACTTATTTCATTTTTTGGTGAAAAATTGTATATAGTGAAAAATTATTTTGTTGTTGCAAAATGGTCAGGCTTTATCCCTTTTATTGTTGTTTTTATAAAAACAACGTTTGATTATTAGTGGAGAACGATGGTAATGTTTACCAGGGGGTAAGGCAGGGAATATCTAGGTCTCGGAAAGAGCCACCAATCCTCATCAGTTCCCTTGTTTTTTGTCTGGGATATTCTCCTCAGAAGTTATTTTAAAAATAACTTCTATGACAAAAAACATTTTTTACCCAAGTGACGAGATCGTAAGCTCAATAGAAGAGGAACCAAAGAATTAAATAAAACTAAAATTCTTTTGGAGAGTCTTCTAAATCTTACAACCGCACTTATAAACATTTACATCTTTCTCCAATTGTTATGCTTTCGTTCAACCTGAACGAAGTAACATAACCATGTGAGTTGGTTTTGTCTGTTACAACAAAAACCCCTTCGTCGACCGTGCCTTGTCTATTAATAGAACAGTGTGGCTTGTTTGTTCGGGATACCGTAGTATTTTGTTGTGCAAAATGGTCAGGCTTTATCCCTTTTATTGTTGTTTTTATAAAAACAACGTTTGTTTATTAGTGGAGAACGATGGTAATTTTTACCAGGGGGTAAGGCAGGGAATACCTAGGTTTCGGAAAGAGCCACCAATCCTCATCAGTTCCCTTGTTTTTTGTCTGGGACATTCTCCCCAGAAGTTATTTTAAAAATAACTTCTATGACAAAAAACATTTTTTACCCAAGTGACGAGATCGTAAGCTCAATAGAAGAGGAACCAAAGAATTAAATAAAACTAAAATTCTTTTGGAGAGTCTTCTAAATCTTACAACCGCACTTATAAACATTTACATCTTTCTCCACTTGTTATGCTTTCGTTCAACCTGAACGAAGTAACATAACCATGTGAGTTGGTTTTGTCTGTTACAACAAAAACCCCTTCGTCGACCGTGCTTTGTCTACTAATAGAACAGTGTGGCTTGTTTGTTCGGGATACCGTAGTATTTTGTTGTTCAAAATGTTGCAACATAGAAGTTATTTTTAAAATAACTTCTGGTGAGAATATCCCAGACAAAAAACAAGGGAACTGATGAGGATTGGTGGCTCTTTCCGAAACCTAGGTATTCCCTGCCTTACCCCCTGGTAAACATTACCATCGTTCTCCACTAATAAACAAACGTTGTTTTTATAAAAATAACAATAAAAGGGATAAAGCCTGACCATTTTGCAACAACAAAATACTACGGTATCCCGAATAAACAAGCCACACTGTTCTGTGAAAAATTATTCTTTATTTTGTTCATAAAAAATCCAGAGTTCAATATGATAACACAAACTGAAAAAAAAAATGACAAAGAAGAATAACAAATTGAAAAAAATCTTCAACTTGTTCGCTGATTTTTTACAGCAACTGTTTAAAGATCCTTACAAAGTTTGTCAATAGAATGTACTATTATTTTAAAATTCAATTCCATTGAAATTTTTTTTCGATATTTTCCCGATTTGAGAATTTTTGCAATGAGATCTCTTTTTCGTGATTTTTAGGGATAAGTAATTATATGTAAAGTAATTATCTTAAAATTATTTCGATATCATCTATTCCGTTTCGCCACCACATAATTCGGTACTACACCTCCATGTAATCCGCCATCAATTTCAGTTCTCAAGAAATAGAGTCAATTAAATAAATTGGTATTAATATTCGAATTCATATATAAAACATAACATAAGTCAAAATAGAAAATTATGCAAAATAAAACATTACTATTGTACATTTCAAAAGTCAAAATGACAATGTTAATATATCTCATTTTTGCACGATTTTTTTGGATATTATTCTTTTCGGACACGAGACAATTTTTTTTGAATCGAATTTTTATGAATCGATAAAATCAGTCCAGCTGTTCTTAAGTTATAAGCGTAGTAACTAACACAACTTTCTTTTACATAGGGTAAGTGCGCCTAAGTTCGTCATGTCCCAGTAACGGCAGTTTTGAAATTTAAACTTAAATAACAAAAAATGGAATTGACCAAATAATGAAATAATGCATGCGATAGTGTTTGTTTGTAAAGAAAAAAATAGTGGTGGCGTCAACTTAATAATCGATTTAAGTAAATTAAATTTAATACTTTTGGAATCAGAAATATTTACAATAGTAAATAACAGTCTAAAGATCATTTTATAACTTCAAGCATTTTTCTCTTATATTATTTAATGCGGACATTAGCTACAGAAAAAAAGAGATTCGCCAGTAGTCGGCAGGGGGTGCCGATTACTAGAAAAATATCATTTTTCACCTACTTCACCAAAACTTGAGAAAAGTATTAAAAAATAATCCAAAAAATACTCAAATAAAAAAATAGTTTTGAATTGGCAGTTGCTTCTATTTGTGCTTTTTGACCAACTTTTCTAAATTAAGTAGGTTTATTTAAATCAGCTATTTGACGTTTTAGATAGTTAAAAAATGTTGGTTATCTAAAGG